GTCTTGGACTTAGTCTTGGCCTTGAGAAAGTCATCCACACCCTGTTCTGAGAGATTGCGGCGCCGATCCTGGATGGCAGCATCTGTGAAGTCATGTACCAAGCGGCAGACCTTGCGGAAGCGCCTCCCATTGGCAGTGAGGCGGTACAGTGAGTCTAAGTGCAGAAGGATCTGCTGCTCCCGTTTCGCTACGAGGGCACTGAGCTCCAAGATGGCAGCAATATATTCTCTGGGCTTCCTACAGGATGAGGGCACGAATGAAAACAGCAACTTCACATACCTAAGGCCAGGGTGCCTACCCACTTGGAAGGCCGCACTACCTCTTATAAGAAAAGGGAGCATCCAGGAGAAGATGGTCCAAGAGACCCATGGTGGAGATGAACCAGGAGATAGGACTCCTCACACTTTCCCTTTCTCCCTGCATCCACATCCCAAGGGGTTGCCTCTAGGTACCAAACACCAGGAAGAGCTTAGACATCATACTATCATTTTTAACAGTCCTTTCTCCTCAAACGTTATCTTCTCCCAACTGTTAAAGGGGTCCAGCCTCCTGCTTGCTCTTCTTCTACCCATGTCAACACCATCCTGTGTCTACATGATGGTCAATCTTTCTTGGGAACAGATTTCTAAAGCTAAGCCCTCTCTATACCCTTCAACTGTTCAACTGCCTTCCATGGCTTCACAGAGATCCCAAGGAAAAGTCCACACCCCTTTGCTTCACATTTTAATGGCCTTTATCCTACTTTTCCATCCTCACTTCTAATGTGTCTCCTCGTTGTCTGTTGCACACACTCTGCTCTTCCTAGTCTTCTTTGCTTGACTCAAAAATTTCAATCTACCTGGAAGGACCTCACTTTCTCTTCACTTCCTGTCCTTTAATTGCCTAGCTCTGACCCACCTCCTCCAAGAAAGTTCTTCTTATTGCCCTTCTTATTGTCCTCGCTCTTCAATTACTTGCTTTGGTCAAGGTCCATGATCCCAGATCCAGCTTTACAACTCACTCCTGGCAGTTGCTGTCCAAGCTGAAGACACATTTCAGCAGACTCTCCAGGGTCATGAGGCTGATGTGCTCAAACATGTCCAGACGGGTGTTGCCATCAGAGGCCAG